CTCCGACTCTTCCCTTGAGTATATTCCCTCCTATCCCCAGGTTCTGCGATTCACTGCAACCTCCCACAGAAACTCACAAAACTTTAAGGAAATGTTTTACATGGAACAAGGGAACACAATAGGAAAGATGCACGTCAGGGTAGTATCTTCTCACTATATTTATTCACTCTGTGTGCTGAGCAAATAAACAAAGAAGCTGGATTATATGAAGAAGGATGTGGCATCAGGTTGGAGGAAGGCTTATTAACAACTTTGGAGCTGCAGACGACACAGCCTTACTTGCTGAAAGTGAGGAGGGCTTGAAGCACTTGCTGATGAAGATCAAGGATTGTAGCCTTCAGGATTACAACTCAATCTAAAGAAAACCAAAAGTCCTCACAACGGGACCAGTAGGAAACATCATGATAGATGGAGACAAGACCGAAGTTGTCCAGGATCTCATCTCACGTGGATCCATAATCAAGAGCTCAAAGGATGAATGACATCGGTAAATCTGCTACACAAGACTTCTCTAAAGTTTTGAAAAGCAAGGATGTTACTTTGTGGACTAAGGTGCACCTCACTCAAACCAGGGCGTTTTAATCACCTCATAGGCACGTGAAAGTTGGACATTGACCAAGGAAGACCAGCGCAGACTCGATGCATTTGAACGATGGTGCTGGCGAAGACTATTGAAAGTACCATGGACTGTAACAAGAACAAACAAACCTGTCTTGGAAGAAGTGCAACCAGAATGCTCCTTGGAAACGCTGATGGCGAGACAAGACTTTGTCTCCGGTACTTTGGACATGTTGTCAGGGATGACTAGTTCCTGGGAAAGCACATCATGCTGGCAAAGTAGACAGGCAGTGAAGATGAGGAAACTCCACAGATGGATTGACGTCGTGCCTGCATGACCACCACTGTGAGATGACACAGCACTGGGCAGTGCTTCTTCTGATGTACACAGAGCGGACTCAACAGCTCCCAACAAAAACAACAACTCGCAGGACTGTGTGTGCTGTTTAGTCCCCAATCCAAAGGGTGGGCAGAAGTGAGCCAAAAGCAAGGTCCGGAGCCAGAAGCTAAAAATGTCCAAAAGTCAAAGCAGGTCTTCTTGCTTCTGTTGAGAAACAGAGGTTACCAAAAGGGCAGGCTTTGATGGAGACGTGGTTTTTCTCTTTCAGTGGACCATACCGCCAGGAAAAACAAAGGATTGTGACTTCAGCCACGCCCTCTTATAATGTCGGGTCTAAGAAGCACCCTCTCCTAATCATGCAACAAAGAGCTCTCTCCAAAGAGGGATCCAAACCACAAGTCCAGAGGCCAGAAGATTCAGTGCGTCATACAACACATATGGAAAACATGGCTATGGCTAGAAGGGCCATCGCAAATGTTCTACTCCATCTCAGTTAGACATCATCTGGGCAGGGAGGACAGTCTCCAAGGGCACTTATTCCAAGAAGCGGAATGCAAGATCTTTTCTCAGGACCAGGCTCACCTTTCCTGTCCTGGAGCGGAGTTGGGGGACCAAATATTTCACCAATTCTTGGCAGGATGTCACTGCTCTGCCAACAGAGAAGGGAAGTGGGTATCATTTGGGCAGACATAGGAAGCTGGGTTGCGGTGGCTCTTTGACTAAAAGGTGACAGCATGTACAACATCAGGACCGATCAGGAAGGTGAGCTATAATTTCCATCATTTCTGAAAGAGAGCCTTCAGGCCCTATTTGTGGGAGAATCCCAACTCTCACCAAGCTTTCAGGGGCTAAGCTGTGCAGTGTGTTCTCCCCTCACCCTTTCAAAATCGATGCCTCAGAGCCTCAGGTACTCACGCAGCTCCAATGTTGCTCCAGCTCAAACTGCTACCTTGTAATTTATTTTCTCATCCAGCTTTATGCTTAATGAACTAATTCAACCTGTCAACTAAAATAAACCTTATTATGGGATAGCATTTATGAAATGTTTCCAAGAATTCCTGCTTACCATGAAGGAAAGAATGTTTATTTGGTGGGCATCAGAAAACACCTCCGTGTAGTGGTATCTCATCAAGTCAATTAGAGCTATAATAACTTTGTCTGAGACACCAGCCTTCTGAGATTCCCAAGTATGCTTTGGACTATCGCTCCAGAAATGGACAAACAAAACTCCTCACATGCTTTGGAGTATCATTTCAGATAGTTCATGCATGAATCCTCAGAAGAACTCCCCCAAGAGAAATTACTCATTTCGGGCACTCTGATGCGTCATCCTTAGACTCTCTAAAACTTGTTCCCTGATTTAGATCAGAAGAATGCGCCTAGCATCCGTTATCAAACCCAGATCTAGCTATGCTGTCAATGTAGACTGAAAAAGGAGTGGCCAGTCTTTAAAAGTTAAAAACAAAATTAAAAAAAAGACTTTTGATTGTGAATTAGGTGAAGGTTTACAGAGCAGATCATAAGTTTTGCATTCAATAATTCATAGATATTTTGCTTCAACTCATCCATTCCAATCCCCAAATGTACCATTGCTTACCCTACTTCCAGCGTTTCCTGTTTCCATTTTCCTTTCTTTCCTAATCCTCTGAATGTTGTCCTTGGGTAAATGATCTTAAATGGTTGATGATTCTAACACTGGGGTGAGTTCAGGTCCAGACTTTAAGAGTGACTAAGGGCCATGGTCTTGGGGATCCAACCAGTCTCTATTTGACCAATAAGCCTAGTCTTGTTTATGAGTTTGTTCTACATTTTCTCCAGGACCCTTTAATGCGGTCCTTTCAGAGCAGTTGTAGTGGTAGCTGGGAACCATCTAGTTCTTCTGGTCTCAAGGCTCTGGTCACCGATGTTTGCAGAAACTGATTATTTTTGTGGTCCATTGGACTGATTTGTTTCCGTATGTTTTTTTATTGTCGTCATTCTTATTTCATCTGGCCTGGGAGAGACCAACTTTTGAGCATTAGATGGCTGCTCATTGATACTCACCAAAGTAGAAGGTAAAACATTGTGAACTATATTATGCCAATTGACCTCCATGTCCTCTGAGATTATGGTCCATAGCCACCAGGCCCCTAACTTTGTCCCCTGTATGCTTTTTCACCCTCGTGGATATATTTACAGCCAAAGTAAATACTCATATACAGATATCCTCTGTTAAACCTGTATATATGCACGGGCCCCACGCCTGTTTAACGCATGTGTCTATCTCAGCATCCATTTGTAGATTAACACTGTGTTGTCTTAATTAATGTTTTCTACTTTACCTCTCTAGGAGCCCTGGTGGCGTAGTGGTTACATGTTGGCCTGTGATCCACATGATCAGCAGTTTGAAAACAGCAGCAGCTCCTCTGGAGAAAGACTGGGCTTTCTACTCCCGGCATCAGTGACAGTCTTGGAAACCCACAGGGGGTCACTATGAGTCAGCATGGACTCAATGTCAAACAGAGTTTTTATTTTACTACTTTGGGATCTAAAATCCATTGCAATAGGATCCACAGACAAAATTCACAATTAAAGAGTTTATTAAGGAAGTCAACACTGTAATGCCAGTGGTAACTGTTCAGATGTTGGGGATCGTTGCTTTACAGGGAAAGTCTGAGTGGTGGAGAGGACACGGCACAGCCCTGCACTCTACCCTTCATTACCTCTGGCATATTACTAGTTCAGGAGTTCATGTCAAGTCCTATGAGTTTGTTTTGTAGAGAACAGCCAGTGCAGAGAGTTCTGTTAGATAAGAAAGGAACGTTTTTTTTTGCTACAGAATGGTCTTTAGTCATTCTTAGATTAGAAAAGTAACGGAACATCTTAGTCAGCTTGAATAAACACTTAGGTTTACTGTACCCTGCTTCCTGATACTGATGGTATATATATCTGCTGGCTGAAAAATAAATTTGCTGGTTGCTGCATTTGTACCTGTCCTCCTAACCCTGTTGTTTATCTTTCTTAGAAATCCCGCTCCACCTCTCCCTGTGTAAACCCTCCGCAGGTGCGGGTCACCGCACTCAGATAGTTGTTTAAGATGTTACACAGTTCTTCCAGGCCTGCTAATAAGTGCTCAAAGGAGCATACCACTGCTGTAAGATTCAGCTCAAGCTCCCTGGGTCAGCAAATTTAGCTCCCTGAATTAAGGGCCCACTCCAGTCAGTCAGCCCAAAGGCACTCATCTCCACTTCCCTGGCAAGGCCAGCTTCTCCAGTGAAGTGCCCAGAAGCACCCGCTGGGCAAGACAGCCTCCTGCTCAAAACCACTCAGCTTTCCTTGCTCCTGGGTTGGGAGTCCATCCTTCTGTTCCGTGTTCTCACTGCTGCTTCTGCTCTTCTGATGTTATAGCCCTCATTTGGATCCAGGAGGTTCACGGTCCAAGGATCTTTGGTCCAGGATGCTTTTCCCCTTCTGGCTCTTGCTGGTAATGTGATCCCTCCTCGGGCTCATTTTATACATAGCAGAATGGCTATCACAATTCCTCATGGGTGAATCCTATCTGCATCTTCTTCTTCTCTCACCTTCTTACCAGAGACCTATGCAGGGAAAGGTGGTTTGGTAGGAGTTACAGCCTTTGGTTAGAAGAGTCATTAAATAATTCACTGCCTCCGCAACCACGGTTGCAGGATTATGTACATAACAGTACTGTATCTGCCTCTCTCGCCTGTAACTCTTGCAGAGCTTCCAGGGGCAGGCCAGGAGGCCCTTTCATTCCAGAAACGGAAGCCTTGAGGAGAGCGGTAGGGTAGTGCACGAGTGGAACGAAGCCTGGGTTCTTTCCAATTTCTGGGGTTGCTCTCGGTGGCCACACTGCGAAGAGAAAACGCGTCTCGCAGGTACTTGCGAACTCGCAAAAACTTCCCAAGAGCCGGTCGGCATCCCGCGGGCGGGGCCAGGGAAGACAGGGCGGGGCCAGGGAAGACGCGCCCCGCCCACTCCCCGTGGCCTAACTCTCCCGTTCCTTCGCTGAGCTTCGCGTTCTTCCCCTCTGACCTCGGAAAGCAGGGGGCGGGGCCCTTTGGGCGGAAGTTGCGGTGCATTGTGGGCTCGCCTGAAACCGTGCAGTTGAGTCTGAAAGAAAGTGGCGCGCTGCCCCTGACGTTACCGAGTGGGAGCGGCTCGGAACCAGAGCCCGGCCAGGGTTCTGGTGCGGCGGACCTGCGAGGCGGAGCGGACCGGACCGCGAGGCGCCGGCGCCGCCGGCCAGAGGAGCGTTGGTGCCGGGGCGGGGCGGTTCTCCGCGGCCGCAAGACATGGCTCATAACAAGATCCCGCCGCGGTGGCTCAACTGTCCGCGGCGCGGCCAGCCGGTGGCAGGTAACCCGGGCCGGAGGGAGGTGTGAGGTGGTGGGGTCGTCGTCCGAGTTGCCTGGCTAGCTTCGTAGGGGGTCGTCCGGGGGACGCAGCTTTTGGTGGTTGCGGACCCCCTGGTGATAGTTCAGGAAAGAGATGTGCTGGATCAATGAAGCTTCGCGGAGAAGTGGAATCGAGGGCGGGAGAGAGTGGGTCGGTGCCTGGACGCTTGTCACTCGCTTGTAAGACTACTTTCGAACGCGAAGCTGGGTGGAAGGTTTGTGTGGCAGGAGCCGAGGACTCAGAAATGGAGATTTTCGTACCTTGAAGCTCGGTCAGAAGTTTGACTGTTTCAGGAAGATCGATGGGGAGAACAGGTCTAGGAACCCAGAGTTTCTTTTTTCTTTCTAAATTTCTTAAGTGATTATTGTAGGCTTTTCACCTTGACTGATTTTTGACACACAATAAGCTTTTCATTTAAATATTCCGTTTGAGAGGTTTTGAATACGTGTATGTGGATGTGCCCTGGGTAGCCCAGCCTGTTTGCACCCAACTGCTAACCTAAAGGTTGGCCGTTTGAACCCGCCCGGCCACGATGGTGAAGGAAGACCGGGTGAGCAGCGTCTTTACTTATTATGGCAGGTCTACTCTTGACTTGACAACTGGCTTGGGCTTTGGGGTCCATGAAACCTTTCATCGCTACTCAAGTTTCCTCCTCCTTCAGCAACCATCTAGGTGCTTTCTGTCACTATAGGTCAGTTTGCATTTTCTAGAATTTATAAAAACAAATGGAAGTATTTCATATACAGGAGGTCCCCAGATGATCGTTGTTGGATTTAAATGTACGTGGAAAACCGAAATGAACAAATAATGGAACTTTTCCATGAACTCTTTGAAGCCCCCTACTAAAACCAGCAGTCTTAACTGCCCCTCCCCCAAGCCTTTTATATTAATAACCCAAAGTTCATAGAGTGGTTTGTAGTAATCAACTGGACACGAATAAAAATGTGTGACAGATATTTAATGTAGCTGGATACCTCGCTAATTAAAAACGGTTAAAACACACATAGAAAAAAGAGGAGTTCATGGAAAAAATGCATTTTCCCACAAATTTTTTGAAGTTCCCATGCCTGTGTATACAGTAAGACATACATTAGACTAACATTAGTTATGAGCGGCACTCTCTTTTATGTGACTTACAAGTTTAAAGTAAGGGTAGACTAAAAGATTAGGGAATGGAGTTCATGCTATCCTGGGACTGCCTGTCCGCTTTACTGCAGGAAGGATTCTGACACCTTTCACTCAATTATTTTGAGATTCATTTGTTTTACTCCCTGTATTAATACATCATTCCCTTTTATTGCTAAGTAGTCTTCTATTATATGGATATGCCACAATTAGTTTATCCATTCATCTGGACATAGGTTTTAAGATTTTTGACCATTACATACAAAGTGCTATGAATATTCATGTGTAAGTCTTTGAGCATTGCTTTAATTTTTCTTGGTAGAATCTCTAGAAAAGTGTTGGTATCATGTGGGTAGATACATCCTTTACATTTAAAGAAACTGCCAAACTCTTTTCCACAGTGGCAATGTTTTGTTTTTCCCCCACCATCATTTTATGAGAGTTGCATTTACTTCATATCTTTTTCAACACTTGGTATGATCAGTCTTTAGTTTTAACCATCTTAAGAGGTATGTAGTTTTATCTTAGTGTAGTTTGAATAATGGCATTGATTATCTTTTTTACATGCTTATGAACTATTTGTAAAACTTATTTCTTTTTTTTTTTTTTAATTAATCAATTTA